GACGTCAAATTGCTTTTGAATATAATTTATTGATAATTAATGCATTAAAATGCGCTCAAAAAGTGGATGTGCTCCACAAGTCATTCAAAGGAAATATAAATTTATTACTAATTGAATTTTAAATCTCCATTCAAAACTTTCTAATTGTCTACACTAAGTTTTAATTTTTAGAAAGCTTTTTTCGCAATTAAATTATGGATTTCAATTTTTGGTCCAAAAATAATTTTATGCAAAAATATGTTTTTGTTTCGTCTGTTTAAGCCAATTATGAGTGGGTTTTAAATTTTAAAATTCTCGATACATTGAAATCAATTGTATTTGAATGTGGACTAAATGGGTAGGGAATGAGATATAATGCATAGTCACGATGTCTAAGGTCTAACATTATGACAACTTAAACAATACGCTATTAAATATGTATTATTGTATATTATATTATATACAGTGGTAAGACATATTATATCATTAAGTAACTAACGTAGTATTGACCATTAGTTTTGTGTAGTATAGGCGTTACTATCGTTACTAACTTATGAAAGCGAATTAAAGTTGCGATTCATGTCTTACCCTCCCTAGGGGAGAGTGAGAGACAGAGTTGAACACAATATAAGTTTAACGTCAATACAAACTATCAATTTCGGGGAACTTTGTCTATCGTAAGCAAAAAATGATACTTTAAAAGGACTGACTGTTAGACACAATTAGATGCAAAGACGTAAACAAATAGTAAATGAGTTGAGAGAATAGAAAACATAATGATTTATGACTTACGAAAATCTCCTTCACTTGTTGTCCATGATTTCGGGCAACTTTGGCTCTACTCATGACATTACGTAACAATTCTTTGACGGGAACTGGAGGAGCACCAGCAAAGTCTTTGTCAGGATTGATAGGATGTGTCGGCAGTCGACACGGGTTTATCCATTTGGGGGATGAGCTCATTGAGAGCCTACTTCGGGATGATGAGGATGACGGCGGTGAGCCGTTTGATGATTGCTTTTGAGATGATTCACTTCGTATGGGAGATGCCATTGAGATGTTGGCTGAGGACAGGAACACAACTACTACTGTCAACAGAAATACCAGAAACTGTTGTTGTCTTAAGAATTGTCTTAAGAATTCTAAAGAATCGATGGAAAAGAGTGCAAAAAGAGAGCAATTATAACATGGGTTTCAAAACGACTATACTTTTATTATGAGTAAAAACTTTGTGAAAAGTTATTAAACACAAGAATCGCGTTCATCGAGTGAATGGAGAGATAACATAATATTGAGTAATAGTGAGAATCGTTGACATACTTGACATTTGATGGAAAAGACAAGAGATATGACTAGTATTAGTAGTGTTCATGTAATGAGTGGAAGTGTTGGAAGTGAAGAGTTGGTGACACTTGACAAGAGTGCGGTATATGAAGGCCTGCACTCTAATAAAGCTCGTCGCGTAACACATGTTCATAATTATCATAAAACAATGTTTTGGTTCATCAATGAGTGTTATAGTTGTGTAAAACTTGTGCTCTAGTACTATGACATAACTTTCACACACAATAGGATTGCGATGTCTGTGCTATTGGCAACTGAATTGTCTGATAGTGGTCTCTCTCAATAAATACCAATACCGGCATGAGTTTAGTTTAAGTACTTCAAAAATCCCCGGCAAAAGGAGTGGGGGCTAAGGGGAGGGATTAGTGGTGAACCAAACGTTACGCCGAAGCAAATGAAAGTTACGTACATTTGTTTGCAAACTAAAAGAGATTTAAAATTCAATTAGTAATAAATTTATATTTCCTTTGAATGACTTGTGGAGCACATCCACTTTTTGAGCGCATTTTAATGCATTAATTATCAATAAATTATATTCAAAAGCAATTTGACGTCAATTACATTATATTTCATTGTAGAAACTCGGATAAACAGATCCGACCGACAAAAATACTATGTTTATCTCAATTTAATCGCATGTAGTCTTAAAAGTTACAAAATTTTTATCTCTTAATTGTAATACAAAAATTGAATTACATATTCATAACGTATTGGCGCATAACTTAGATTTCAATGTCTATCGATTTGCACTATAAGTACAATACAGTGCAGTACCTAAACGTTTGGTAGAAATTCTTGTAGTTGTGGGCAAACAAAATAAAACTTTTTTTCCGTTAGTCGGGAGCACTTCAAAGCTATTAGTAATCACTTATCATATCATCTCAGAATATCGTATAAACTTTTACGACTCTCTAATGATTGACACAATATTTCACTATTAATAAACAATCCAAATACAGGTATTAATATAAAAGTTTTCATTGACTTTAATTATAACAAGCAAAAAATGCCTTGTTATGCGATGACTCATTAATAGTGAAATACTTTTGAAATTACTTGCAATCGTTTTGAAGTTTATTCGGTCATTAGAGACACCGTTGACATTGATTTTATTTTTGATTCAATCTTTACTTTTACTCATAAAAATGGGCCACAATTTGCCGAAAAGTGTGTCCCGCTTTCGAAATGATTAATTATCTTATAATAAAATATATTCAAAACTAATCTATAATATAGTAGTAGGCGTTGGAGTCAATACCATAAGAACGGCATAAATACAATACAATTCAATACAAACGCATCGCTAAACAGTTAGTCATTTTGCTTAACGCTCTATGAGTTCGTTGTCTTCATATGAATCATAGATATTACAAGAATTGATGATTTCTTTGAATTATCCCTAAATTAATATTTAAACGAATCCTTTATATCTATTATTTTAAAAAAACATTTCGAGCGATGAATTGATTGTAAAATTGTTGTCTTTGTTTGACTTTCAGCTCAATAACACATTTCCTGACCCGGAGTTCGAAGAAGGGGTGAAAACGTATCGACAGGAATGGCTCCCAGAAATTCCGGCCACTTCTGAACAAGTGTTTCAAAGAATGAGTGTAAGTATTGACTCAAATATTCATTGTCTTAAATAAGTTTTGTGTATATAATTGTGGCATATGTTGTATTGTAACCGAAAAAGTATTCATTGAATGTCTTTTGCATTGATTGCATAGTTTTCTGAGGCGTTCACCACAGCATACGAATACATACAGTACTTCGCTGTGGGTTTGGAGCAAATACTGTTGGATCAGGTGCTACACGATGGCAAAATGACCACAGACTTCAAAGACATAGAGTACGATCTGTTCCAGTTGTTGTGTGAGATACAGCTGGGAATGCATTTACAAAGCATTGAGCCAAAGGCGGACGTCTTGCGGCACGTGATGTCCCATCAGTACCGCGACATCAATGAGGCGTCGCTCCGGAATCTTCGCGATTACTTAATCCTAAGAGATTATATCTCTGCCACCAATTTTATAGCCCAGTTGTTTGCATATCTCAGATCCAAAGCTAGAGCCGAGTCGAGTGAGGTTTAGGCCCCCGACCGACGACCAACACACGGACTCTGTATTCAAAGATTCATTGATTGCCAACACTTGTGAACAATGTTTTGAAGTTTCAACACTCTCTCTACAATTACATGATTTCAAAACCACTTTACCGTATATTTTAAAGCTGTGATCTCTTTTTGCCTAATTTATTTGTATTTATTTAATTCAATTGCATTTGTTTTGAAAATATTTGTATATTATTTTCTCATTAATTATTATATTTTAGTTTTGAATCAAAAATCCAATCTAATTATTGTTTGATTTTTGTATTCCAGTATTACTGTATTAGAGTCCAAATATTGTATGAATGCTACGGTATAATATTTATACAAAAAACTGATTGATTGTATCCTATGTTGGAATCAAAAACGATTCTTACAATTTGAAAGAAAGTTTGTTATTTATATACATATATATATTGAATATAAATATTAGGAATATATAAACTGCCAGTTATTATTAAACTATTTCATTGTATTAATTGTTACAATAATTTTAAATCTACTTATTCTTGTTTCAATATCAGAAATATAGAGACATCTCATCAAATGTCATGAAAAAACAATATTTATTTATTTAAACAATTCATTACAACTTTCATAACTCCGTCCTTAACTTATTGTTTCAAATAAAATGTTGTTATTTTAATTGTCTTCAAAAACAAATTAAAAATTCATTTATTTTAACACAAAATACTTCGAAAAATAGTTAAAACTTATTGTGTATATAAATATATAAAAACTATTTAACACAAAACATGAAAAATCTATCATTTCGTTAATAAATAAATAAATTGATGAATGAATTCATTTTATAAATTATTTGCACAAAAATGATTTATCCTTAGAATTAGATTTAAGTAATGTTCAAATAAATATTTATATAAAAATTCATTGAAATTATAAGTAAAGTATAAAATATGCATAAAATGTATAATAAAGACACGGATGAATGATGAGAAGTATATATTTGGTGACCATATCTTGAGTGGACTGTCTGTCCGCCGGTAAACTCAAAACCTGGTAAGTCTTTTGGCGCTCAGATATACGGATATACGGCATCACAATTAGGCGACCAATCCTTCAAATTCAAAGAATTAGACCATTGACTCAGTTATGTCTGCAATCAATAGCGAAGTCTGTTTGAAATGTTTTCCACAAAAACATTGAAATACAGAAGAATTGAGTTTAAGTCTTAATATTGATAGAAGAAGTGACTAATTGGACGGTTTGGTGGCGTAAGAAGTCACTCATGTTCTCCAATAAGATAATAGAACTCTTGAGTATCTGACAGTCAAGAACTGCTTTACGGGAACAGATGGGAGTGTCGGTTATGGTGTGTTTCAGCACTTGATCCGTCGCTTCCATTAAATTGAGTTCAATATTGAAAGTATGTAAAACTTGATTGAAAATACACATCAAGTCCCTTAAGTTGATAGCCATTGTCCAGTAGTGTTGGGCCAATAGTTTCGAGTGATTCCGAGGGTTGTGTTGCGAAAGTGGAATGTCTGCCGGTTTATGGACTGAACAGTTGTGTCGGTTATAATTGTGTTGTTTATCCCAAATCCAAAAGGTGTGGAAAGTTTGGTTTGTCAGAGATGTGTACAACCAGTGCATCGATTCAAACAGATTTTTACTCTAAACATAAGTGATTAAAGTATTAATTAAGTGAATCATTGGTTACAATAATTATTGGTAGCAATTACAATAACAAAAACATATCGACTGCGCCCCACCACTAACTCGACCTTAACTTTTGTTTAATTAAATTATCAACTAAAAAGTTTCCTATAATTTATATTTCCATTTGCTTTTTTGTTCATTTGGTTATTTCCACAAATAGGCGGTGCCTCATTCAGGGGCAACGGGTGATTAGCCTCCTCTTACACATTAGATGTAGTTTTTTATCAAAATTAAAATTTTTTTAAATCCTAATATTTAATAAGACATAAGACGGCATAGATTTTTGTATGAATGCGAAGTCTAACTTCAAATATAATGCTGAGGTCTTGTGACAGTTTTGGTGGTGAGAGCACCTGTTGGGACGGTATTTATATTGATATACCTACAGAAAAGCACAAGGTGAACTGCAATGCACGAGTCTTAATACAGTATAAAGTACTGTATACTAAAGAAATCTATAACTAAAACTTATAAGTATTTAATCGATTAGTCTATAAGTTATAGTAAAAGCAAGATTAAAGACAAAGAGAAAGTGGTGACGAGAAACACGTAAGCCTTGTATGGATTTGAAGTTTCTTTCAGAAATAAGTGTCACATTTTTAATTGTTTAATTTTTATATTAATTATAACACGAATTAAAAACAGGTGAAATACAAACAAAACGTTTATCATACTATTTGTCTAAAAACTTTGTATCGATTTGTTTGCGTTTAAAATGATTAGACAAAAGGGAATTATGTTCACAGAAGTTGTACAGAAAGTGATGAAATCAAGTGACAGGATTGACTTACTTTGAGTTCATCCAGTTTTGGGACGTCAGCTACGATTGGGAGCCGTAATTCAGTGCACTCTTCCAGCAAATTCTACATTGAAATGAATTTTTAAAAAGTTTTTATCAAAATTTTATAAATAAATGAGAAGTTTGATCAGAGGTTGTGATAAGCAATGAAAACTTGAAATATAAAGAGAGGTTGCAGAGTGTAGGGTGAGCTGAGAAGACTACAGGTGCTATAAGTGCTTGGTGTGATGCTTACCATTCGGATGACATTGGTGGCCAAGCCTTGTAAAAATGTCGATTTGGTAATCAGCTCACGAAGCAGTGCTAATCCAGGCTTGTTTCCAGGCGTACCCGTCAGTCCTGTGAGTGCCGCGAGTCCTGTCAGTCCTGTCAG